TGATGATGATGATGATGATGATGATGATGATGATGATGATGATGATGCAGGGCCTTTCTCAAAAAACTGGTGATCATCTTTTCCCGACTGAACCTGGTCATGGAACACACCCCATCCATATATCCTGCACTTCCACTTCTGTGCCACCCGTCGTTGTCTTTGTTCTCTTGGGACCTCCACAATGCCAAAAATCAGGAACTCTCCAACTTTCGGCTCATCGCCCACCTCGCGCACCAGTCCCCAGTCCCGCGCCTGTCGCGCCCAGCAGCAGCACATCCGCCTTCTCCGCGTGGAGGGCGCGTGGAGGTCTCGTCCCGATCTCGGCCTCGAGCTCGGCGAAGACCTCGTCCCAGTCAGACCTCACATCTGGGGGTGTCCTGTCCCAAACACTCCATGGGACTGCCATATATGCCTGACGAGCTGAGATGATCAGACTGGCCAAGGTAGGTATAAACACTCCATGGGACTGCCATATATATATATATATGCTGCCTACATTGACCCCTCTTGCACCACCCCTGGCCTGATCGGCAGTCCTATGGCAGTCCCATTAGTCGTGTCTGGGTGTGGTGGGAGCGCATTCGCACTTCAAAGACACAATGCAACATACAGCCTGCACAGGGGTGTCCAATATGGAGATCCACAAGTAATTTGTGTAGAGTATTCTATTGGAGGCCCCTTGGAAGGTGCTGGCGCTGGTATGCGTTCTGTGTGTTTTTTCAAGGGTCAATGTCGGCATAGATGCCACACATGGGAGTTCGGGCATCCATAGGCTATTTTAGTTGGTGCGGAGATTGGCTGGGCTCGGATTGTGAGGAAAATCCCTCTCATCCACGTCCAAAGTTTGTCGAACACTATCACTGCATGATGTTGCTGCATACAATGTTTAGAATATCCTGAATTGGCAGTCTATACACGTTCACTTGGTGCAGTAAAGGAGGCTCCTTTAACATCCTTTAACTATAGAGAGTCCATCTTGCATATCCAGGTCGAACCCATTCAACTATCTATTTTGGCCCTATCCACCATCACTTTCGGCCACTTCGGCCCTGACGGCGCTCCGAGGCGCCACCAGGCCACGTTCACGGTCGGGGTCAAGAAGCCATGAACCTCATTGAAGGCTCGACGTTGATATGGATCCAGCAAGAAGTCCTGGCGGGTGAGGCAACGCTCTGCCAGGATGGGGGGCAACGCCAATCGCTCGAAGTCCTGGCTTCTTCGCTGTGTGATCTCTTTGGAGTCCCATTTCGGTGACCGAACTGACCAGTCACAATCGGAGACCCTAAGGATGGGGGATATCAAGGACGGTCACTGCGAAGAACTGGGTGAAGTCCCTCAAAATAGATCCCAAACACGACTAATGGGACTGCCATAGGACTGCCGATCAGGCCAGGGGTGGTTTTGGGTGGTGAATGTAGGCATATACCTAGATCTTCAGTCCGGCACTTTTACAGGGTCCGGCGCCGGACTTCCAACTCCGGCGTTTTTCTGGATTTGGTCCGGCAGTTTTTCCAAGTCACTTGAAATGTGGATTCTCAAGGCTTTGCATTCTTTGTGGCTTGCATTTTTTTGAAGGTAATGATTTGCTTGCAAAGTGTGCTTGTTTGCCTGTTCCGCTGTTTTCTCATTCCACCGGTTTCAGCATGGTTCGTTCACACTGGATCAATCAGATCCGTTTAGGTGATCTTCTAAATGAAGTCGGATGAAGTTGGTACAGTGCGATGCACGTGTTGAAAGACCCAAGTGGGTGTACCTAAGCTGAAAGAACATGGGCAAAGATGTGCTCCCATTGTTTCAGGATGTCGGGGCGCTGGGATATAATTACAGTAGTTCTAGTTGCGCAGGTTTGCAAAGACTGCCGGACAAGTTTTGGGCGGTGGAATGTGGAACATGTGTGTTGTGCAGAATCTCAATGTTTTGCAGAGAGTTGCTCAAAAAATTGCACGTCGTAACTCCGGCGTAATTTCCCGTAACTCCGGCGTAATTTCCCGTAACTCCGGTGTATTTTTTTGGACTCAGTCTTTTTGGATTTTGAAAAGTTTTTCAACTAGAGTTTCAACAGGAACCATGAGTTCTGCTACTTTATTGGCGGGGCCGTCCTGAGGCAAGCTTTAAAAAAAAACAAATTAAAAACATAAGAATCATGGAGAGCATTGGAGAGCCACTGTGTAAAAAGAAACTTTACAAACACGGTTGCAGAGAAATAGGGGCTCCTTGCCACATACTCCTTGGTTTCTTCTTGGAAGTCTTTTCTTGGGCACAAATTTGCTTACTGTATATTTTCTGATGGTTCTGCTCTTAGGCCATTCGGAAGATGGGCGAGGGCAATGGGAACGGGAAGGCTCCAGTGCTGGGCCTGGGTTGTGGAATGAGTGTGTTCCAGAAAAAGCTACTTGTGGCTCAAAGGCTGTTTGCTTTCTGTATGATCCAACTGGTTATCATCTCTGTTTTTCAGAATCTTGGATCCGGCTGTTTTTTCAGATCTCCGGCGTTTTTTTCGGAATCCGGCGGAAAATTTTGCCGGATTGAGTTCCGGCACTTTTTTCCGCCCAAAGGAGGATCCAGGTATGGCAGTCCCATGAGTCGTGTCTGGGAGTAGGAAGATCCGAACATTATGCTCAGGAGATGCGATCCTTCAAGCGGAAATGGATTGTCTTCTACAAGATCAGTGCTTGGCTTGTTTGAGGGTGTATTGGGGTTGTCAAGACTCACGCCCTTAGTTGGAAACCAACAGCAGGGATCCGTGTTGATTGTAAAATAGCATATTGTTCTATGATGTTCTGTCAGTTTGATAAGCCTTGAAAAGCGCCCCATGAACATCCACCACTTGGGAACCTCTTCTCTCCTTGGCTGCCGTCAGCTGCCGAAACTTGGCCGCGGCCGCTGCGTCGCCTCCAGGTCTGGTGGTCTCGACCGATCGCTGAGTAAGCGACCAGCCCTTGGACTACAGAATCCGGAAGACATATTAGGGGATCCACCCACCTGCTTCTTCAAATGACCGAACTTGATAACCTGGTTGGTTCGGTCACGAACAAGCCGAACCCGGACTCGGGTCACGAAAAGGAACCTTCAAGTTCGGTCACGTACTGAAGAAGCTGGCAGGAACTGGGAACATAACCCCTAGGGCTCCAAGTACCTTCTGAGAAGGTGTTTGGGGTGGGTTTGGAGGGTCCAAACACCTTCTGAGGATGTACTTGGAGCCCTAGGGAACAAGTCACCTGATGTTCTTCAGGTTGGGAGGTCCACCCGGGAACCGAAAAAAGTGAAACGATCACCTGAAGCATCCGCCAAACCAGGTCTGTTCGACATTGTATGACGAACACATCCCATGGAAGTGGGAAAAAAAACTCCTCTTTCTAGAGACAAAGGCAGTCCTTCCATTTTATGTTGCACCTTAATGGTGCCACCTTTTGGCAATCAGGATTAGCACACAGCATGTGTACTGAAAACGGGCGCGGTCTGGTGATACGTTGCCACGGTGGTGTAATCACAAAGCAAACGCATGCATCAAAACAGGACACTTCTTCATAAGCTATGGCCATATCCACTCACACAGTCCAATACCTTGGCCAAATCGACGCGTCAAACATTTGGAGATTGTTTAATGATGATCTAATGGATTGTTATATTGGACTCTTGATCATTACTGTATTATATGCGGGTCTTGACCATCCACGGGACTGGACAGATTCACCTGCATTGACCCTTTAAACACATCTGAACAAATCACCCCGCCAGCCGTTTCTCGGCAAACCTTCGAACTCCCATGGATACCAAACACGACTAATGGGACATAATGGGACTGCCATAGGATTGCCGATCAGTTGGGGTGGTTTTGGGGGTCAATTGATCGGCAGTCCTATGGCAGTCCCATTAGTCGTGTCTGGGGATTGCTCAGATTCCCGTCTTGACACGTCAATCTGCAGAACGGACTCGGACTCAAGGGCTCCCTCTCGTGGTCGTCGCACACCCAGTTCCCCACTTGGCTCCTGGGCAACGATCAGGATGAAGCTTCCTGGGCCGAAGCTCCGTATGCGAACATGCAAACTCACGCTTCTACATGATCCTTAGCACGGCCGTGAATGGGACTGTGAAGGTAGTGGGACTCGACTCTGGAAGTCCTTATATGAATGGCCGCGAATGGGCGGACCATCGGTTGATTCGATCCAAAAAACACAAATCGCGCATGAAAACGCCGACAGTTGAGTCAAGGCCAGATGGGCTGTTTGGAGATGGGCTCAAAGAATCCAACCACAAGACTCCCTAGGGATCGACATACCTTCTCAGAAAATACGACTGGGCCCTCCTGGCGCCTACATAAATAGTCTCCGTGCTCACCGTACCTGAGAAGGTACTTGGATCCCTAGGGGGTCGGTATCATGTCGCCAACGACTTAGCATCCACAGCCCATCTAAGTGTGTCCTTTCTGGAGGACGAAAAAGCTAACTCAGGCTGACTCTGTGGAGTCTTCCTCCCCACACGGCCTCTAGCAAGTGCTTTTGACAATAATTAAGATTAAGTGTTCTCCTTTGGTGGGGAGAGGTTTACACACAAAAAAATGCAATGCCCCCACACTTTCCAAAAACATACATCCAAGCTTTTTGCTTTGCTGATGTTTCCCCCAACCAAGCGCAACGGGATGGATCTTCCCCTTAAAACATGCGCGGCCCAAGCGGCAAGGAGAGCTTCCGATAAGTGGACTTGATGGTTTTGTCCGTGGCATCATAGGGGATTCCAAAGAGCCGATACCTTGGGGCCGTGGCGGCGACGCGAGGGTCTGCGTGCGACTCCGGAGGAGCGGATTCCGAAGCGAAGTACATTCGGTTCCAGCTAGTTGGGCATTTGAGTCATGCCCAATCCCCAAAAAGGTTTTGTGATCCATGGCTATCCACTCTTCCGGGTTTAATGAGGGGTGTCCAAAATGAGAAATGTGTGTTTGCAAGACCTCCTGTGGGCTCCTATAGCAACCTGTAGCCACCAGTGGTTTCCTGTTGGTTTCCTGCTTGAGATAAGGGCTCAAAAACCCTCCCCGGCTCCTATAGCCGCGCTGAAAGTCTGTGAGGCAGGCACCTTTTGTCGAGGAGCGGTCATCGATCGGGGTCTATAATTGATGTCTTTGGAACCACTGATGGTCAGCAGGTTAAGTCCTATAACATGGTCAGCAGCCGGATCAAGATGGTTTAAACATTTGTTTATACTAACTTTCTTCCTGGTTCTTCAAAGTGACCGAACTTGATCACCTGGTTGGTTCGGTCACGAACAAGCCGAACCCGGACACGGGTTAGGAATCCAGGAACCTTCAAGTTAGGTCACCGTACTGGTCCAAAGCTCGTTAAGCTCATAAGAAATCGATCCTGCAAGCTGCAAGCTAAGCCCCGAGGTTTGGAACATGCACTCGGACACAGCATGTGGCTCTGATGCTCTTTGAGCTTATTCGTTCGCCCCTCTGAAACGCATGTTGGGGGGCTGGATGTCTCCCATGTCTCTGAGACAGTTCGGTGACCGGCTACTCCCACAAAAAGCAAAGCAACAAGCGAAAAACGCAAAGAACACATGCACAAATCGAAAAGCTTGAAGGCTTCTTGAAAACATGATTCTCTTCCAACTGGGTGTCCGTCATGTCTTCCCTGGAAGGTTAGTATGGAACCTGAAAACCACGTCGGGTTGTAGAGGAAAGTCATGCCATCAGCCAGCAGTCACGTTCGACGGGGTGCCGAACTTGGAGGAGAGGGGTGCCCAGCGACTCCCCTCACTGGATGGGCCTAAAAGCCACTCCTTTGTGGGGAGGCTATCCACACCCACCCAATAGGCTCCATGGCAGGCAGCAGAGGGGAGACTCCTGGAGGTTCCATGTGAATGTTCCCAGCTGTCTCCGGCTGTCTCCATTTCTGGTTGTTGTGGGTCGGACGGGGGGCGGGTCGGTCACGTAGGCATCGAACTCTTGGACCTCTGCAAGCCTCAGAGAGATGGGCGACGGGCAACATGGGCGCGAACTGACGCAAAATGCTGATGATGCTGATGATGCCGATGATGCCGAATCGAACGCAGGAGCGTACTTTGATGAACTTTTGAAAACAAACTGAAGAAGGGTTACAGAAACTGGGCGGCTCCATCTTAGCCTGCCACTTTCTCCCACGCCGCTCCCCAGTTCGCCGGGGAACCAGGCTCCACGTTCCTCCGTCTCTTGGGGTGCCGAGTCTGTTCGAGTCGAGTCCAAGGCATCTTCCAGCGGAAGGCAGGACACTTCGACCTGAGCTACGGTGAGGTCTATGGCCTATGGCGTGTGGAGGCCAAGCCATTGAGTGCACCTCAAATCTATTTATATACATGGTGGAAATTACACAACTTGACCAGAATCAGTGTGCTTGTGGTTCTGCCTTGAAGCATGTGTAACATTGCGCAACCATGTGCAAGTACCTATCAGGAAGATTGTTTTTGTGATATTAATTGATATTGGTAGATATTGGGTAGAAGTTGGACCCAAGCGAAGCGGTTGGGATTGTTAAGCTTCCAAGGCAATCACTGCCAACAAAGAATCGAAACAAAAGGAGAGGCCTTGGATGTACGGACAAAGATTCGAAAAGCAAGAGATGGTCCGGTCGCATCACTCTGAAATCGGCCAGTCTGTTTTTGAGCCAACTCACCCCCATCTCTCGCAGCAGGACAAACAGCTCGATGTCAGTCGCCCGTGCCAATGCTTGAATGCCATTGTCCTGCGCCACATCCATGCGCATAGAATTCTGGCTTCTCAACATCTTTCTGGGCAAATGGCCGTGCTATCACAGAACCGTGCCCCTGTTTCAATCGATGTCACATAATAATCTAGAACATTTCATGATATCCAAGACATTCTTTCAAGCAGCTTGATTCAGCGACCTCTTCCAAAAACACATTGAGTAGTGTGCTCGACATTTGAACAAGCACTTGCTCAGGTAAATCGACTGAAAAGGTCCTGTCAACCCTATATAACCCTATATATCCGATGGACCCAGACTGAATATCCCCGCACCACAGGCCGCCGACGTCCTCCCAGTCTTTCACCCCCACCAGGCCTCGCAGGCTGCTTGGAGGGTCGCCCTGGAGGGCAAGGCCACGGGCTGCAGCAAGGGGCGGCCCCTCAAGGAGAGACTCACCTCAAAAAGAAGCCCAAACAGTGGCACACCTGCTGGTAAGAGCTCATTCTCTCTCTCTCTCTCTCTCTATCTTTCTATCTATCTCTCTCTGGCCAGGCTAAGGCACCCGAAAAGCAACAGGTCTGCATGATTGGCACCTTCCAAATGGAAGAACCCATCGAGTTTTCCACCAAAAAGGGGGGCCAACACTTGCAGAGTCATAAAGTCAACACGTGTGATGCTCTCAGCCACGTCTCATGTGCCGCTGGTGTGCTTACTGCATGAAGAAACCCATCTGCTTCCCCCCAAAAAGGCACAGTCGCGGTTCGATTCCCACCAAGACACCCAGCCCTCGGCTGGCCCGGGCACGCCATCACCGAGGCACGCGAAGTGCAAACGTTGGCCTCGGTCAGTGACGGGTTGACGCCAACGAGGGGGAGTTGGTTTTAAAAAACCGAGGTGACACCACGCCCAGTTGCCCTAGGGCTCCAAGTACCTTCTGAGGAGGTACTTGGAACCCTAGGGCTGGTCAATCTGTCCAAATCCCCTATTTGGAAATCAAAACACAGGAAGGAAGGACCAAATCATCCTTTTGCAACTCTGGCGACCGTCCAAAACACATGCACCCGACACGATTGGACCCCGGAACGAGCTTGCCCAAGTCGCCGAATTAAGTGATGGTCGAGCCTTGAAACACCTTACAACTGACAACCAACATGGAGGAATCTCAAACAAGATAGCGTTGGCCTACCTGGTATAGAGAATATAGAAACATCTATATTTGTTGAATGGGCGAAGAATTCTTGCATATAGGCTTCTTCTGCCACAAGCGTGCTACTAAATTTGCCTTCCGTCGATACCGTCGCACTTTCAATTCTTCAACTGTATCGCAACAACATGCACCCATAGGGTCCAGGTACCTCCTTTTCGGATGGTCTTGGAGGTGAGTTCGTACGAAACCGAGAATAATAGTCGTTGCCGGGGGGTCTGGCAGGACATCTGAGATGGCCGGATGGTCCTGGACCCTTAGGGGCCTGCTGTACTGCTGTTCCAAAACGACGCACCGGAAACTGCTCATGCTGGTCACGTTCCCGGCCCTACGTCGCCTACGTCCTGCCAGCTCTGGCCCGGAAACCGATCCCCTTTCACCCCGCCGGATGAATCCCCGAACCTTCGCGCTGCAGCTCTCCTTGGGGCCGGGAGAACAAGGCGAAGGAAGGCTGAGGTGTTCACGAAGAAAAGCTATGAGTCAGTGCGTGCAACATCATCATATTTGGAGGTTGACAAATAGACATTATATCCGAAACCACCACCTATAGAATAATGCAACGTATTTCTGAGCCTATAGAGTCTAGAAGAGGATTCGCAAGAAAACATGATTCACCCAATTCAAACAGAAAAAAACAACATAGTACACACACAAATACTATAAACATAAGCCGAACATCGCCCAACCAACATGTCAAGCCAAGCGTCTCACCAGCGTCCCCGTGGGTAAACGCTCGGCCGCCTCCGGGGCGCACAGTGGTGCGCCCTGGCGCACGCGTAGGCCGCCGGTGGCCGCGCCTGTGGCGAGGCTGGGGCGGGCGCCCATGCAGCCCATGCGACATTGCATCGCATCCACTGAAAGATGCAGGAGTGGGGGGTGCAAACACCTCCAAATTGGCTGCAAACAAGCCAAATAAAAGAATGGTTGACGCCCGCGCAAGTCCGTGCCTCATATTCTTAAAGTCTTCAAAAACAATCAAATCCCAAAGCATCTGGGACTGGAATAGTTACACACATTTCCCTTATGAAAATGACCCATACATGTAAGTGTATATTCCATACATGGACGCTCTGGGAACGATCCAACTGGGAATGATCCAACTCATCCAAAGAAGTGTTCCTACTATGACTGAATGGTGCGACTCGTAGGGAATAAGGGAATGAGCCGCCAATAGAGATTGTATTGGATCCAGCCACCCTCATTCCCTGCGAGTCGCACCAGTCAGATGACATCCACGGAAGCGATGAGATCGCGAGAGTGCTGCGCCGGCTGCGCCGAAGGAGACTCACCGCAAAGGACGGCTGGTTCTTGAATCCCGTTTGGGCTCCTGGCCTACCTCCGTTTCGAAGATGGGGTGGGTGCCAGGGGGGTCTAACCCCCGAACCTGAGGAGATGGGACAGGAGCCCTAGCACTGCAACCATTGAGACGTTCACGTCGATGCCTCCAACCACCTGCCATAGCATGGCTCAAGTGGTTGCCACACATGAGTCGCTTCATGCTTCATCCGGCACATGAGTCTGGTCAGGGGAAGGCTCTTTCAACATGCTGCTCCTGAACCATGGGATGCACCGGATGCACCTACCAAGTGTTTCAACCACCTCGTCCAAGCTAGTGAGCAAGATGGAGGGTTCAAGCGGAACGAACTAATAAATCATATATACAGTACAACTGATATACAAGCCAAGAACCTCTCTTGCAAGAGAAGTTCTTGGCCCCATTTTCTGCTGGATGGTTCAACCCGCTTGGATCGCGAACTGTTTCCACGGGCTAAGCCACTGTGGATGGACAAGTCTGATGTCGATTGGCTCCACAGCGTTCATCAAGCCACTGAAGCGGAGAAAGGCTGCGGGCTGCTTGGCAAGTAACTTAAAGTGTCATTGGTTCGTAGGAGCTCAAAGAAACCGCACAAAAAATTGGAGAATTGTCTGCAAAGATAATTTATCATCACGACAAAAACATTTTGCCATGAGTAAACAACAAAAATGTCAGAAAAACAAGAAAATCTCAAGATTCTGTTCTTGCGAGGAAAGGCCTCAAGCCCTCACAACATTACCGTAAGCCTCTGGTTCCTTCTTGCCGCTTTTCTTGCGAATTACAAGATGAGACCTGCAAACTGCAACCTCTTCCCAGGAAAAGCACTGAAGCAACTACGCCACATCGCCCGCCAGCAAAAACTTGCTTGATCGTTGGTTCTTCTGTTTTCAGATTCTCTCTGGACCAGGTATAGTTCTCGTGCGTGTTTCGTTTCGACGTTGGATCCTTCCAGAAGGATCACAAAGTTTGGGATGACCGTCTTGCAGATAGGATGTTGTTGGATTTTGAAGTCATCATGAAGCTTTCAGGACCAAAAAGCCACACTATAGATTTTGAAGATGTTACACTGTTACAAGTTACACTCATAAATGCACATAATACCATATATAATTACATGAAGCTCATCGCAACACCCCCGAGAAAACAAAACATGCACCTTCCGCAGCAAATCTGTCATCCACTCTTCCCCCGCCATGATCCATGAGCCCAGTGCTTTCAGCTCACCTGAAGGCTCGCTCCCTCAGTTCCCTTGAATCATTGAGGCTAACTGCTACCTGATCCACCGTGTTGGCTCTTAATTACCAGGGAAAACCCATTCCCCCAAACAAGGTGTTGCAGGTGATCAACTGAACCTTTTGGATAGGCCACTCTGAACTCCTATAGGTAGGCCAAACCTGGAGCTCTTGCCTGGACCCCGCCCATCGGGCCCTCCGGCGAGCTCCTGGCCGCTCACCAAGTCCAAACAGGGAGCTGTGGTGAGCGGCGTGCCTGGCCGCTCGCGCGCGTTCCGGGGGCGTGATGCGCGGTTGGGGATGGGTGTGCATTCCACGAGTTCCGTCCTCCGTTCAAAGGGGAACAATATCCCTAACACTCAGCATGACTGGAATGCATGCCTACTTTGACCCCTTTTCAACCACCCCAATGTAGGTAAGTATGCCATGGGGTGTCTGAGTATTATACTAAAGCATTGGCGGCGTGAGCAGCTCGCAAGTCGCGCATCAATGAGGTGAACCAACTTTTTCTAAGGCTCCAGTCCCACCTCCGCAAATAGTCAAACACCCGGCACCCACCCCAAGTACCTTCTCCGAAACGGAGGGGGTGGCCAGGAGCTGACTTCCTATTGCAAGTACCGCGACAACATTCACTGTTGGATGAGTCTACATGCAGGCCATGGGCGAGATTGAAGATGCAGGGAAGTAGGTAGATTTGCGGTCCAGGCCCAGGCTCCTGAAACAAAACATGCACCTTCCAAGGGGTGCCCAATGGAAGCCCCAGCCCACTACTAAGGGACCTCGAGACAGGACACCCCGAAAGAAGGTCCAGGTATATAATTTTTCGGGATTTCACCATTGGGGAAAGATCCTAAGCCCAAACGGCCAAGCAGTGCTGTGGCAGTTCCATCCCTACGTCCCGTCCCATCCCGACTTCGCGAGCGAAACATGCCAGGAGTTCAACCGACCTTTTCCAACCTCTAATCCAATGAGTGGGGTTTCTGAGCCAACTCCCGGAGAAAACAACAGATTCATGTGTAGACATCAGACTCTTGATCGGTCAAGACCCTCCCATTTGGATTGCTCAGCCTCTTGGCACTCAAGAGTCTACAATAAATCAAGTGAAACCTGGTTTCAACCAGGTGACCTGGTTTCACAGCCGCTGGGGCCAACAAGAACGAACCTCCCATGTCAAATCGCCTGGACGGTCGACTGTCGACAGATGGGGGGGGTTCACAAGGGACACCGCATCAAACCACCTTGAAAGTCGATGGACATGTGTGCCATCTAGCGGCTCCTTCCACTTTTCGACTTTCAAGGTGGTTTCATGTGGTGTCCATTGTGAACCCCCCCATCTGTCGACAGCCGACCGTCCAGTCGATGTTGGGGGTGCCATCGGTCCTCCTCTCAAACTACTGAGCAGAAAACCTCCCCATGCAGCCCCTGAGCTCAGCACAGGGCCGCCCGATGAGTCCAGCACCTGGCGTTTTTTCGGCAGCGGCGCAGGCGGAGGACCAGACCCCCTTGCCGTGTCAATCACCCCGTCCAAAGACCCAATGAACTATTTCTGTCTGGTTCATTTGTGCTTTGGTTGAGATTGAACTTGGGGTAGCTCATATTCCACCTTCCAACCCCACCCCACTCACCTTCGAAATGGAGGTAGTTGGTACTTCAGACCCTCCCCAAAGCATCTCACCTGCATCTGGAGCATCCGTCAAAACACCTGATGTCAAACACCCCTCCGTCCAGGTCCAGCCAGCAGATCCCACCTGTTGAGTCAAATGGATGGGTGCCTGAGGCAGGCTGCTTCTGCCGAGTTTGGATGGGTGCCTCCCCAGTTGAGTGAGATGGGTGGGATAAACTCACCAATCACTGAAGCCCTGAAGCCCTCCACACTGAACCCGGCAAGCAGTTCTGGTCAAGTGGAGCCCCTGAGAGTCTACAACCTGGCAAGCGACTCCTGTTGAACGAGAAACCCGCTTCTCCGCTCCCTGGCCAGTTGCCTGTTGAAAGGTGAACTATGGATGCCCCTGATGCCCCTGACTCCTGACTTCTTTCCTTCATCGCCAGCTAGTATGTGACCTTGACTCATCTTGGAGGCACAAGCACCTTTGAGAGTTCCACTCCATGTTGTTCATTGCAAATCCGATATAAATCGTGGATATTCCTCATATTTGGAACCATAGACCTAGAAACCCTGGTTCCTTATGTAGGGGCAACTGGGAGTCCAAGACTATAAAAAGAATGGTCTTTACGTGACCTGAAAAGGAATTTCCTTTACTTCAGTCGGTCAAAATATAGTCTTTGGACTTCTAGGGTAGGGGTAGCTGGGATTTAGTGGGGTTGGTATTAATCCAGCAGGTCACTCAGCCTCCCATCCGCCCATCCCTTCCCTGGCGTCAAGTTACAACTACGAGACGCCGCATCCGGCGGGCGGGGCACCTGTGCGAGCTGCCCGGTGAACTCTGGAAACACGGAACGTTCGAGGTATCTATATATAGTGGTCCCCAAATAGGTCTAAACCCATTCCAATACATGTGGAATGGTTTTTGTTTGCATTGCTATCTATTTGGGGGTTTATATGGGTCTATATGCTCTCCAAGAAAAACTAGCATGCAGTGGAAAGCCACCGAAGCATGGACTTCGGATTGCCATTCGTCATCCTTTTGGGGCCCGGGCCATGCCATCCACGTGAAGAAAGAAGGAGTGTACAGCATGCCTTGTTCGGCCAAACCTCTAGCTCAAAATGGCTTTATATAAAAAATAAATGGTTCAAGTGTATGTTCCACTGCATCCGTGATTCAAACGAACATCTGTCTTTTCGGCTATGTCTTAGGGTTGAAAAACATGGCCCTGTTACCTGTTTGCAAAAACATGGTTCAACAGATTCAATCCGTCTTCCATTTTCACCGCGTCGTGTGAGTCTCACCCGCGGGCAAGGGGTGCTTTTGGGACTGGCGCATGGGGAGGGGGGCTGTTCGACACCATGGCCAGCTTCTTCCCAGACTCTGGATGCGCTCTGACACCGATCTGATGGCCTGGGATTTCAATATATTTCAATACAAAGCACCAGATCGAAGGCTGAGGGTGATGTGCTGGCAACGCAGCCTGTAAATAGGGTGGAAGTGGAGTCGTGGAGTGTATTTGAGGGGGGCCTCTTAGAAATAAAATACCCACCCGCCCGAAGCATAGAAGATGGAAACACTTTAACTTGGGTCTATCCCACTACCAGTAAAAGTGGATGATGATGATGATGATGATGATGATGATGATGATGATGATGATGATGATGATGGTTAGTTAAGAGCTTGCCGACTGTACCGTAATGGGGCAAACCCAAGCTATAAGTATTTCAACCATAGACGACCATAGAGCCTAAAAACCTATATCTATCTGTCTACTATCTATTCTGGGACCTCTTTATTTGGCCGTGGGTCAAAACACAGGCACCCTGGTTGACCCTCGAAAATGTCAAACGATGTCAACCTACCATGGTTTGGTAAGGGAGATCTTGACTCACAGCCATTTCTGTCCTTTGAAGTTTGATCCGCTGGACATATTTGCTTGAGCTCTCGTCCTACGCCCCTGGCCTCGTCCTAGGACCCTGGCTGCTCTTTCCAAAACCTTCCATTGACACTGAGAACATGGAGGTGGCTTGGAATGGGGGTTGGAACGGGAGTGCCGCAACTACCGCTTGCATGAAGCTCTTCTAGCTGCTGCAGGCCACCAGACCGGTCGCCATGCGTCTTCCACTGGTCGTCTCACGCTATGTGGCTTTTTGGGCCATCACACTTGGTCTGAAGACGAAGAAAAAAACTGGACTGCTTCAACGTTCAGCATGTTTGATTGGTGCGACGCAGAGCCTGCGACTCGTGTTTATAATACTCCCCATCAATTCCAAGCAAGGTTGAAGTTCATGACGAACTGCAAAGCATGGCAAATCAGTTCTGTTCACGATTAGGTTGAGCATGACTTTTCCAACTGCCCTGTTTCATCTATAA